TGAACAAACACATACTGACCTTGTGCTGGCCACTCACATAGACTTGGGTCTTCATCCTGTGTTGCTCACAGAGGATGAGGGAAGTGACCCCAGAAACAGGAAACACAGTGTAGTGCAATCTGTGGTATCTGCTGGGAGTTCCCTTGGGGACCCAGAGAAGGAAATGACCTGAGTGAGCCAGGGACTTCTTGCTCTGGAAGTAGTGCCCAAGCAGAAGCAACCTTAAACTGGAAAGGCTGAACTCGGGTGATCATAGGTCAGGTATTTGGGAGGGATGGGCTGATCTTCCGTGCCAAAGCATGGAACTGGGAAATGGTATGACTATTCTAGGCGCTGTGACTGTAGCATGCAGAGGACTTTATGTCCACATCCAGCAGAGTATGTGGGCGAGCTGGAGCTGGGATAGATGGTGGGGTTGGAGGAGGATGAAGTAGTCTTCATCAGATTGGGGGAGGGGAATGTAGCCAAGCAGGGGCCTGCTCACCTACAGCCCCCTGGTTTCAGTCTTAAAACATAAGTCATGAAATAGCCAAATGGGAATTAGAGAGTGGGGGACTACAGTGAGCATAGTGGCACACTTCAGGGCAAGGCAGCTTCTGTTTAACTCTGGCTACCATGGTGTTGAGGGACCCGAGTATGCAGCTCAGTGATAGAGCAGATGCCCAGCATTTACAAGGCCCTGGATTTGGTGTGTGTGTCGGGGGTCGGGGTGGGGGACACACAGAAACAGAGAGATAAGGAGAATACAGACTAGATACTCAGGGGCCTGTGAGAGACTCCATCTCAAAACACAAAAGCCAGGTGAGGCAGGAGAATCGTAAGTTCAAGGTCAGCCTAACAGTTTAATGAGATCCTATTTCAAAATAAAAACGTAAAGGGCTGCAGGTGTAGTCACTGGTAAAGCACTTGCTTGCCTTCTGTGAGGACCTAGGTGCAGTCTCTAGTGACAAAAACCAGATTTTATTTTCAGTCAATATGAAACTGAGCCTTTTTTTTTTTTTTTTGATTTTTCAAGACAGGGTTTCTCTGTGTAACAGCCCTGAACTCAATCTGTAGACCAGGCTGGCCTTGAACTCACAGAGATCTGCCTACCTCTGTGTCTGGAGTGCTAGGATCAAAGGTGTGTGCCACCACACCCTGCTCAAAATTGAACTTTTAAGTGGCAGCAACTTAATTTATGTGGGTTTAAAAACTTGCCATCAGGGGCTGAAGAGATGGCTCAGCAAGTAAAGAATACCAGCTTCTCTTCTAGAGGACTTGGGTTCAATTCCCACGACCCACATTTTGGGAGCCAGCCATCTGTGGCTCCAGTTCTAGGGATCTGACGCCCTCTTCTGGCCTCTGAGGACACTGCATGCATGTGGTGAACAGACACACAACCAGATTTAAAACATGGCATCAGAACCATATCCAGTCCACAATCCATATTCAGCCAGTGCTTGCTGTGGCTTAAGCTGGCTAAAGGACAAGGGGTGCTCCAGACGGTCCCGGGTGCCTGGTTAGCTGTGGAAGTAAGTGAAGCAGGTTCCCAAGGCCTGGCCAGTCTGGGGATGAGGTGGCTGAAGGCACTGAAGGAGAAGAGAAGGCTGGGTACTGAGGGGAGCAAAGCGCCACCTTCGAGATCCTTCTGGGTTGTAGAAGAGATGCTCAGGACATTGTCCCTTTGGTTTCCAGGGTGACCAGCGAGATGAAGAGGAAGAGTCCCAGATGAAGAAGTCAGAATCTGAGGTGGAGGTGAGAGCTGGGGAATAACAAGTGAGGTGGGCAAGGGCCGCCTCGCCAGCTGGCCCTGCCCAGCACTCTAACTCTGTCCTTGTGCCCTCAGGAGGCAGCTGCCATTATCGCCCAGCGACCTGATAACCCACGGGAGTTCTTTAGACAGCAGGAACGCGTTGCGTCCGCCTCTGCTGGCAGCTGTGATGTGCCCTCACCCTTCAACCACCGACCAGGTAGTCCTTGGCCCTGTCCTTGCCCAACCCATACTCCTCAGACTATGGCCCTAAGTCCCTTTGGGATGACTTCTTGGAAAACAAGCCTTGCCCAAGGACTTCTTGGAGAAGGCAAGACCCCTTCCGTGTGCTTCCACCCACAGCTCTCCAGGTGGTAGCACCCACAGAGGGGCTGGGTTGGGGGGCCATGTCACTGTTGGGCATTGGCTGAGCAATGGCTGATTCGCAAGGCCGGTTGGGCAGCTTTGGTGTAGATGCAGACACACTGCTGGTGTTGGGTGCCTCCGTGAAGGGTTGGACTAGTCTGACCTAAAGGCTGTGGATGCATGTAGGGTGGGATCTTGCCCTGGCTTTTAGTTTGAGCATCCTGGAGCAGCTGTCTTTAGGGTCCCTGTTTGGCTTCTCCTGTGTAGCTTCTGCCTCCCCTTGAAGTACCCTTCTATTTCTTGTCTGCTGGTCTGAGTGTTTGCATCCACTGTGTGCTTGGTCATGTGCTGGGGTCCCCGGAGCATGGCGGACTGTACTCATTTGTGCTGCTACTCTGAGGCTGGCTGTGTGTGCCCATGTGCGTATCTGGTGCTGGCTGGTGGGAGGCATCAGATGGCTTGAGGCTGTGGCCCAGCTTGGCTGAATGTAGACCCTGGCTGAAGGTGGCTTGGACATCTAGGGCTGGCCCTGGGGGTGGGTGAGGCCTTGGGGCAGGGGTGGGGGAGACTGACCCTCTCTTGTCCTCTGTCTCTTTCTCTGTCTGTCTCTCTTGGCAGGTCGTCCGTACTGCCCTTTCATAAAGGCATCGGACAGTGGGCCTTCCTCCTCCTCCTCTTCCTCCTCTTCCCCTCCACGGACTCCCTTTCCCTATATCACCTGTCACCGCACCCCAAACCTCTCTTCCTCCCTCCCATGTAGGTAGCAGTCCCAGGCCTCGGCAGGGTGGGGTAAGGAGGGCCCCGCTTCCCAGCAGCCCCTCTCCCCCAGCCTGACTGCTGACTGCTGGTGTTTGTCCCCAGAGCAGGTACTACCTGCCACCTGTCCCTGGCCCTGCAGGGCACTGGCCCCCAGGGGCCTGGTTTACAGGGTCTGGAGCAGTAATCTGGCCCCTGGGGGGGCCTGGGGAGCTCACAGCCCCCACCCATACTCAAGACAAGGTGGACAGTCCTGATCCCACCTGGCTCCCCACCCTTCACTGACTAGCCTGGGCCTTTGTTCCACAGGCAGCCACCTGGACAGCCACCGGAGGATGGCGCCTACTCCCATTCCAACCCGGAGCCCATCTGATTCCAGCACAGCCTCCACCCCTGTCACTGAGCAGATTGAGAGGGCCCTGGATGAGGTTACATCCTCGCAGCCTCCACCCCCACCTCCACCACCCCCACCAGCTCAAGGTGAGAGAAGGGTTCCACCTGCATCCATCCTTCCCCCAGTCTCTGGTTGCCACAGTAACATAGCTCAAGGGGAACTGGACTCCTCATCACCAGCACCACACTGCTAAGGAAGTGGCTGTAGCAGAGAAGAGCTGTGGTGTTGCCGTCGGACCTGCCTTCTCTAGACGTCACTGGCTCATCACTGGTCATGTAGCCTTCCTCCCTGGGCTACCCAGTGGTTTAAAAAGAATTGATGAAGGGATAGTGGGGTGCAGGTGATGCCGAAAGATGCCCTCGTGGTAGTTCTTCCTCAGACGTCCCTAACTCCCTTACTTTTCAGTGGGTGGGCAGGGCACTATAGATTGGCCCAGGGCATCTGTCCTTCTCCAAGGGGGCTGACTGCATTGTATCCTTCGTGTGCACTGTGACAGAGGCCCAGGAGTCTACCCCCAGACTGGATGGTGAAGAGACCAGCAAGGAGGCCAAAGCAGCAGCAGCCCCTCGGGCCTGGGCTGGGTGTGCGGAGGAGCCCCCTCAGGCACAGGAACCTCCCCAGGTGCAAAGCAGCACCATGGAGGACTTGATGTGCACAGAATCCCCGGAGCAGGCTGTCCTGGCTGCCCCCGCAGAGCCTGCTGCCTCCGTCCCCTCAGTAGCTGATGCCCATGCAGCTGACACCATTGAGACCACCACTGCCACTACCGACACCACTATTGCCAACGATGTCACCCCTGCCACCGCCGGCCTTGTCGATCTATGGCCTGGCAATGGGGAAGAGGCCTCAGCACCCCAGGATGAGCCCAGGGTGCCCACACCACCCTCAGGTGCTGAGGCCTCCCTGGCAGAGGTACCTCTGCTGGATGAGGCAGCTCAGGAGACGCTGCCACCAGGGGGCGAAGGCTGTGCCAACCTTCTGAATTTTGATGAGCTGCCAGAGCCTCCAGCCACCTTCTGTGACCCAGAGGAGGAAGTAGAAGGGGAGCCGCTGGCTGCCTCCCAGGTCCTAACTATGCCCTCAGCTCTAGAGGAGGTAGACCAGGTCCTGGAGCAGGAGCTGGAGCCAGAACCTCACCTGCTGACCAATGGAGAGACCACTCAAAAGGAGGGGACCCAGGTGGGACGGGGGTGGGGGACCAGTGGTCAGGGCTGAGGGGAGGGCTGATGGCTTGTAGATCCGCACTGAGGAGCAGCTCTAGTCCACTCCCCTTTCCATCTCTGCATTTGTTCCCTGGCAGGCTGTGTTTCCCCAGCAACCGCTCTTGGAATCCTTGGTTGCCAGGGAAACAGGCTCATGCCTGATAGATCAGCTGTAGTCCTGGCAGGTGGGTCCTAGTAACCTATGCTTTTTTTTTTTTAATCCAACAGGCCAGTGAAGGATACTTCAGTCAATCACAAGAGGAAGAGTTCGCCCAATCAGAAGAGCTGTGTGCAAAGGCTCCACCTCCTGTATTCTACAACAAGCCTCCAGGTAGTACTTCCCTGGGTGACTGATGGGAATTCTGGCCACAGAATGGGATGTGAGGGCCAGCAGTGCCACTCAAGACAGTTGGCACAGCCCTTAGAAGTTGGGGAGACACAGCTGATAGATCTGCCCAGTCATCTCCTCTCCTCTCCTAATATATCCTAGAAATCGACATCACCTGCTGGGATGCAGACCCAGTACCTGAAGAGGAAGAGGGCTTCGAGGGTGGTGATTAGTAGTGGCGACTGTCCCCTGGCTGCCTTCGCCAAGGCTCCACCACCTGCGGTAGCCTCTGGCCAGACGGCTTGCAGCTCCTGCATTGGCAGCGGCCCGCCTGGCACCCACTCTGGACTCCGGCACCGGCCGGGGATTTGTCTGCTCCCCTACCCACAGGGCCCGACTTTTACAGCTTTTCTCTTTTTTTTAAAGTTGATAGACTTGTACAGTTGACTGGTTTTCCTCCCGTTGGTAGTTGAGATGATGTTGCAGATTATACCCCCTTCCTGCCCAGACCAGATTGTAGCTTAGTCTCTCTGCTCGGCCGACCAGGGTGGAGGCCTCACCCTGCTTGGGACCTGGTGGGTTGGGGGTTCTGGTGGGAAAGTGTTCCCCCATCACTTTTCCTAGTTTTATGTTTCTTGGAAAAATATCACTTTGTATTCTCTATCCAGGGCTTCAGATATTTTGCACGAATTTTAAAACATGGCAATAAATGGCTGTGGGCTCTGGCTCCCCGGGACCCTCCCCCTTCTCTTCACCCTCGCCGCTGCTAGGTCGAAAGGAATTAGCAGGCCCACCTGGGGCCCCTTGGCTTCCCGCCCTCTCCTGCCGGGCAGGTCCCAGGCTGGAGGTCCTAGGCGTGACTCAAGTCAGGGCTTGTAGATGGGACCCAGGGGTTTGGGTGGCCCCTCCCCAATCCCTTCCTCTCTGCTTGGGTTCTTTTTCACATTAACTTTTCCCCCCTTTTCTTCTTCTTTTTTTAAAAGCACAAACTTATGTAATGGGTCGTGCTCATGTCTGTTAATAAAGAAATCCAGATCCCTTCGGGCCTGCTGCTCTGGGCCTCCAGGGGTTGATCTGGCGTGGGCGCCGGCCCTCATGACCCGCTTCCCAACTCCTGTCACCTCCGAGGCTACAGGGGGCGCACCTCTCTATTACCCTGAGATATCAAAAGCAGGCTAGATGGAAAATGAACATCCCGCCCCTGAAAAACCACCTTTGGTTTCCGAAGGCCAATTTATCTGTACACACACTAGGCCAGCACTCAGGCTCCTTCCCTAAGGTCCGACATGCCTGGTCACTAGCACCTTGGGCTTAAAGCAGCTAGTGTTCCCCTCCGCTTGTACCAAAGCAGATCACACACCTTTATTATCCTCAAAATGTAACAAACGGGGTAAGAAATCCCACCCTCCCCCCACCCCTCCCTGCAGTCCAAGGGAAGCGTTTAAAAAGCCCCGCAGTCAGGCTAGGAGTTCGCCCGTGGGGCCCGGGACGCCGGGCGCCCCTTTATACGGCTGTAGTCCTCCCGAACAAGGGGATGGAGACGGGCAGGCGCCAAGCTCCGTGCTCCAGGGGCTCCCGGCTGCTGAGCTCTGAGTCGGTCCAGCTGGGGAAGACCCGGCGGCTGCGATCAGCCTGCAGACAGAGGGCAGGGCAGGGGGCGGCGGGCCGCGGGGCGCTGGGAAGATGCAGCGCCGAAGTATAGCCCCGGTCCAGGAAGAGAGGCTTGTAACTCGGAGGCGGCTGCTCCTGCTTCTCCGCGCTGTCGCGGCGGCTCAGAAAGGGCGTGACGATCTTGCGGTAGAGGCCGCGAGTGTCCGTGAGCACCTCGCTGTAGGGCGGCGGCGGCTCGGCCATCAGCACCGCCTCCTCGTAGCACGGCGGCTTAGACATGTCCGATTCCGCTGCGGAACGGGAAGCGGGCTGTGAGGATGAAGCCGCCGGCCCAGCCTCCCGCAGAAGCCTCGCCCAGCCACCACCACCCCAGCCCGCTTCTCCCGGTGCATCGGCAGGGAGCGCTCGCCTGCCTAAGCGCAGCCTTACCTTGGCGCGGGTAGCTCCAGGGCCGAGGCGGCACGGAGAGGTGCGGTGGCGGTGGGTGCGGCAGTGCGTGATGGTGTGGGTGCGGGTGCGCGTGCGGCTGCGCGGGCCCGTGGTGCAGTAGCGGGTGCACGTGCACGTGCGAGTGCGCGTGCACAGGCGCCTCCAGACGGCTGCGGTGTAGTGGTGGCGGCGGCGCCAGGCCGGGAGGACTTCCAGCCAGGCTGCCCTCAAGCTCGAGGGGCTCCAGCTCCAGGGCACGCAGGTTCTGCTCCCTCAGTCGCTCCTCCTGGCGCCGTTTGAGGCGGCGACGCAGGAAGCTGCAGAAGCAGCAGAGCAGGACGATGAGACCCCAGATGAGCCAGAAGCCGGCGAAGCACGTGAGGAACGTGTAGGTGCCCTGGGACATCACCATGGCTGCGGCGCAAGAGGCAGGTCCTCGGCAGCTTTACTGGACGCTGGGTTCCTCGGCGTGGCCCCGGGGCCGCGCCACGCTCCCAGGTGCCGCCAGCGTCACTTGGGGACCTGCGGCCGGGGGCTGCCTGCGGCGGGGCTCAATGGGCGCGCATGCCGGCGGAGGGCAACTTTGGTTCCCGCTCCTTTCCATGGCGCCGGCCGGCGCGGGCCTGCTTCACCCGGGGCCGCGAGCGACCTGTGGGGCAGACACAGGGCTCAGCGAGGCTCGCCGGGATCCTGGGTGACTCCCGGACTGCACCCGCGTCCCGCGCAGGGCCGGGGATGCCTCCTCGGTGGGAACCCCCGCACTCCCCGGGGGCCGGGTGACGTCACCGATGGATGACGTCACGCCCGAGGTTCCCCTGATAGGGTTTCCCCGAATCGAGACCCGGCCACCGCGTGCCGACGCGACCCAAGACCGGCCAGCAGGGGGCGCGCGGAGTCCGCCCGCAACCCCAGGGTCCAGCTTCGAGGTGGTTTCCGAGGCTGTGAACACTAGGGCACTAGGGTAGTCTCGGCGCGGTTATTTGGGGTGGAGAAAAGGACCGTCCACCAACTGGAGGTCCACTAGCAGCTCGCTTGGCACCCAGCTTCTGCCCTGCACTGCTTCCAAATATTAGCCACGCCTGTAAGAGACTGGCGAGCGGCTGCCACTGCATGCCACCGGCCCCGGCTTTGTCTGCTCCCGATGCGGTGTGCTGGGCGTGGGCCAGGCGCTCTTTCCTTCCTCTAGGCGCCTCTGCCAGCCGGATTCCAGCCCCAACTTGACTTCCCTCACCACCTACTCATGCGCAAACCCCACGTGGCTGCATCTTTCTTACTTCCAGCCCTTCCACCAATTCCTTTCCCTCTTTGCAGAGGGGTGGAAAATTAGATGAGATTTATCTTTCGGATCCACCTCCTATCGCAGCAGGGGGCTGAGGACATCTCTGCATCGGGAGAGAATTCAGGAGCCCCGACTGCTTAGTTAAGGCCAGCAAGCAACAGACGGGTCACCATCCCCAGGGCCCTTTTCCAATGCCTTCTACCAGGAGCGGGTAACGAATTATTTCTAACTCACAGCTGAGAACTGGAAGAGCAGTTAACTGCACAGATGGCAGTGCTAATTTGAACCTAGGCCTAGCAGCAAAGCCCTGGCCTGAGCTCGTGGGAAGTATGGTTTTCCAGGAGCGCTAAGGAACTGCTTGCCCTTGGCACACCAACATTCACTCAGCTTTGGTGCCCACACTCAGCTTAAGACCCAGGCTGAAAGGATGCCAGGCCTTGGCCACCCCATCTTCCCCAGATGGCTTCTGTCTGACTCTGGCTGCCTTCAGCCATGTGTCACTCGGTGCCCATGCCAGTCCTATCCTCCTGGGCCTGCGTTCCAGAGCAGACAAGGGTACGAACAATAGCACTGCCCGCCCCCTCGACAACCCCACCATGAGGCTGCCATGGTGACGCAGCCCAGATAAAAACACGATGCTGCCAGTCACCGGGAGTTAATTAAATCCGTTGTTCTCCTTTCCTTGAGCCCTCAGGAACAGGAATGTTCTGAGGAAACAGACACTAGCTGGAGGTTTCAGTCAAAAGGGCAGAAACAGTCCCGGGTCAGAAAAGGTATTTCCGTGGTTGGAGGTAATGGTGGTTGCTAAATTAGAAGTCTTTGTCAAGAGCCTGGGGGGGTGGGGGGGAGGGGACTGCAACTACGAAGACGGCTTGAGCCCGAAAGACTGGCCACCATGGACAACATGGCATCATGGTTCTGAGCATAAAAATAAAAGGAAGCTTTAAAATGTCTGTCAAGGTCATCAGAACTTGTCCCCTCTTTCCATCTACATTTTTGTTTTTGTTTTTCAATAGGTGTCACTATACAGTACAAGCTAGCCCCAAGCTCAAGAGCAATCCACCTGCCTCTGCCTCCCCATTGCTGGGACTAAAGGCATGCACCACATCTGGTTCCATGCAGAATATTAACATCACCTTGTCACTTCTGGTCACACCACCATCTGAAAGATGAAGTGACAAGCTTTAGAAGAAACTCGTTCCGTGCCACACAGCTGATAAATAGGAGGTGTTTAGTCTGTATCTGAGACAGTCGCTGTCCACTTTCCACGTGGTGAGCTGTGAAAGAAAACTCCAGTGTTGGTTAGCGCTCGGTGCATGAGAACTTGGTAGTCAGGTTAACTAGTAGCCAGAATGTGCGTTCCTGTTCCTTCCTGTCGCCCTTGGACCACCTGTCATGGTGTAGCTCAGGGGAAGTACTACAAGATGGAGAGAGATTGGCAGCTCACAGCTCAACAGGAAACAAAGCACAGAAACTATGCCCTGAGGGTATCTAGCTCGACAGCCTGGGCATTAGGCCAGACTCAGAAGACTAAACCCCAAATCTGTGTGCTGCTGTCACCAAGTCATCTGCAAGGACCAAGAACCATCATTCACTGCACTGTGTGCCAGCTAGGGTCAGAAAGAAAGCTCTTCCTTGAGAACACACCACTGGGCCAGCCTCTGGTAATAGTCTGGCTCTAGTGTCCAACTAATGCTAAACACACTCTTGCTGGGGCTACAGAGGGCCGGCCAGTCACGCTGAAGTCTCCCTCCTGCATATTATCTAATCCACAACAGTTGTTCAGCATCAAGAGGGCCATTCACATCTTTTGAACTGTTCTACTGAACAGGCCAAACTTTCCAAAACCCCCTGCCCCAAGGCTCTTCCCTGCCTCTGGGCATGCTTTGGCCCTAGCTGGGGGAACCTGCAGACTCAGTCTTACTGCTGATAGCAAACACTGTTGATTAGCACACATCTGCCACTTGCCCACCTCCCCTGTTGGGAACCATGCCCTCCAGATGGACTCATCTTTCCATCTGCCATGTTACTCATTTTCTGTATTCCTCGTTCTCTCTATTCTTGCAGATTACTAAACATTGCTCAGGACTCCATCTTGGTTTGTATAGCATTCTGGGCATATGGCTTTGCTGGGTTTTCTTAGACCATCCTGGGATTACACCCAGGGATGAAAGCAAGACCCCCCAGGTGTTTCCTATCCACCTTGCTGCCTGCTTCCTTATGGATCACCACGGGAAGGATTGAGTTAGCCTCTGCAAAGGGCAGAATTGTTTTTTTCTGGGCGGAGGGTGAATGTTTTGGACTGGTACCTCTGAAACGTCTACAGTGTCTGGAATACACAGAGGGGGGCTTGTCCAGACCCAGAAGGCTAGTTCCACCATCACTTGATTCAGGAGGTCTGGGTGGGACTCCAGTCCACGTTTCCTAGTCTGTCTCACTACGTAGCCCAGGGCGGCCTGAAACTCATGACAATCCATTTGCTTCCACTTCCTAAAAGTGGGATTACAGGCAAAAGCCACCACACCTGGCTTCAAAGTTCAAATTTCTAACAATTTCCCAGATGTGAAGCCAGAGAGACTCTGTGACCTAGATAATGGCCTCCAGAATGAGTTCCTGCCAGGGCCTCTTGGCCTCCTCCACCATTCCCCGGACAAGTCTACCCTGAGCTACCTCACCTCCCTGGATGAGGATGAAGCCCAGGATGAGGACTCTGGAATGCTACCCAGTATTACTGAAGGCTTGATCAACTGGCACACAACAGCCACTTGTTGAAGTGACTGAGGTGTCTAGGTACCTGTTCGATATTTTAGCTGTAGGAGAGGGGAACACTTCAGGAGCTGGGTCAGCTTATGGTTCATTCTTGGGAAATATTACTGAAGAAGCCATTGCCCAGCTCTTAGCCCTCGTGGGTTTTGTTTTTTTTTTTTCAAGATAGGATCTCACTATTTAGCTCCAGCTATCCTGGACCTCCCAATGTAGACCAGGCTGGCCTCAAACTCAAAGAATCTGCCTGCCTCTGCCTCCCAAGTACTGGGATTGAAGGTGTGCACCACTACACCTGGCCCTTGGAGGGGGTTATAACCAAATCAAAAACTCTGATCATCTATGAATAAAAGGAGAGAATGACATGGAGGCATGGAGTGGAGAGAAGTCCAAGTCATAGGGACTCTGAGTGACAAGATGAATCCCTGGGCATAAGCCCAAGAAGAAGAGACCAGGCCAGGAGACAGGGTGGCAGTGTAGCGTGGTCCTGAAGTGGGGATGGATGGAGGACAGCAGCTGTCATCCTATCCTTGCTGGTGTCACTAGCCTCTATAGCTGTGATCTCAGCAATACTCAAGAGGCAGATGGAGCCCATGGACTTAATGATTGGAAAGCCTTGAAGACTACGAAGCCCAGTCCTGGCAGGAAAGGAATATTGGAGGACACAGATGACATTTCTACACCTCCTTCTTACACCAAACCGGATGTACTGAGGCCAGAGAGAGCAGCTCCCATAGTCAGCCTGGCATGGAGCTGGCCATAACTTCACTTCCAGTAGGGCTCAGTATTGGCTGGGGCCCTAGCCTTTAGGGTCCCGACCTAGGTCTGTGACCTAAGGCACAAAGAAACCGCAACAGGACATGGAGCCCCAAGGGATTTGCGGACACAAAGGATGTCCTTATGCGCTCATTTCTCTGGTCTGGCCCTGTCAAGGGCAGTGTGAGAAGGATGGGGCAGGACACCGAAAGCCCATACTCAGCCGGATCTCTGTGAGTTCAAGGCCAGCCTGGTCTACAGAGTGAGATCCAGGACAGTCAGAACTATATAGGAGAACTCTGTCTAGAAAAATCAAAACAAAACCAACCTACCAAACAGAAAAGCCCATACTCATGAAAACCTTATTCCTAGGGTCCCCTGTGTTTCTATCCCTCATTCAGCATGGACATAATTTGTTCTTGCAAGGGAGGAAGCCATGTGACATGGAAAGCTAATGCTCATGTCTCATAAGGAGCAGCCTGTTGTCACAGATCAAGCACTAAAAGGAGGCATGAATTCAAATCCTGTCTCTGCCCTAGCTGAACCATGTGATCACATCCTATCCCCATAACTAAGGTGGCTTCTTTACATGTACAACAGGAATGATAAGACATGCCTTCAGGGCTGGAGAGATGGCTCAGCAGTTAAGAGCACTTGCTCTTGCAGAGGACCTGGGTTAAGTTCCCAGCACCCACACAGTGGTTCACAATGATCCAAAACTCCAGTTCCAGGAGATACAACACCCTCTTCTGACCTCCACAGGCACCAAGCACACACACGGTACACAGAAATACATATAGGCAAAACTCACACATAAAGTGAAAAAATTAAAAAAAAAAAAAGACTTGTCTAGTAAGGCCTAAGGTGGGCGGGGGTGGGGGGCACAACTTGATGTAAAATCACTTTAAGCCCAATGTACACACCTGCATGTGGTCAACTGAAGGCCAGCACCCGGCATCGTGGAGGTAGTCCTGCAGAAATCACTCCCATTTTACCATGGACTGCGTGTAGTCTAGAGTTAAGACTTTCAACTTTAACACAACTCATGGATGTGTTTTGTTGGCCAATGACTAACAATTTTTTTTTCAGTATTCATTTCATTCCCAACATTTGCATTAAGGCCAGTTTTTATGCTTGATCTAAAAAACTGGATGATCTAGATACACAAAGTCCACACATTGATGAGCAGGTATCTGGCTACATCACTCACTCATCCCATTGTTCCGGTGACCCCTGGAGGCATTTGGGTTTCCTGCCTCTGAGCTTGACTGAGGCCTGTGTTTGCCAGATTTTCTCCTAATCAGAACTACAAGCTGTGAAAGCCAGAGAGCTTATGCACTTAGAGACTAGGGGCTAGGGTTTCCCAGGGGGCTACGGCAGCCAGACTGAGCTTGGGCTCAGCTAGAGAGAAAATGGAGGAGGAAGAGAGGAAGGCAGCCTATCAATAGCACACCCTATACTGAATGGAGAGGAAAGAAGCTGGTTGATTCAGTCGGCACAAGGAAAGGTGCACCAAGGCTTGAAACAGAGAACTTCCTCGCTGGAGGAACATGAAGGAAGGCTGAGAATGTTCCTCTGGCAAGCTCTAGGATCCTTTCCTGCCTGGATCACATGGCTAAGAGGGGCTGTGTCAGCAGAGGAACCTGCAATAGAAACCCAGCTCTGGGGCTTACTGGTTGTTTGACCTTGGACAAGTCTCTACCTCCTGAGCCCCTGAGACTTCCATCTCTAAAACAGGGATAATAAACTTACCTTGCACAAGTGCTCAAAGGATTAGGGATTATGAATGTAGAGCACTCAGATTGCACACAGAGTGGGCAAAAAATGAAAGCAACCTGTGACTAATTCCCCAGGTCCCTGCCTTTGGGAGGCTCAAGCCTGACTTCCCAGGTAGCACCCATTTAAGGGCGTCTTATGCCAAGGCCTCAAATGCCCCAGATCCTGGGCACCAGATAGTTCACTGGATAGTAAAAGAAACGTAGGGTGGCTGTGGTCTCAAGGGTGCTGTATCTGAAGCCTGTGGTCAGGGCTGGCATCTGCTGAGTCAGGCCCTACTGGCAAGGGGGCCATTTCTCTCTCCTGCTGAAAGGAGGTTGGGAGGGAAGCCAGAGGTCATTTCCTCTGACTCAGCAGCCATTCGAGGGGCTCCCTTGGGCAGGGCACCTCCATGTGGCACTGCCTCTTTGCAGGCCAGCCTCCATGCCACACCACAGTCAAGGCATTGTGCACAGACAAGAAAGGGGCACTGTGGTCCAGACAATGAGCTGGGTCGCTCCCTTCTGGCCTGAGACTCAGCTTCCCCGGGTCAGCAATGTCCTTTGCTCTGCTTCTATCCCTCCCTGGAGAATGGTGGCCAGGAACATGAAGTGGAGGCCCATTGCAGGCCCATGGTTTGGCGCATACCCTAGCCATGAGGGGAGATGCTGGCTAGCTTATTTTCTCTTCCCTAGTAAGAAAAATCACCTCTAAAGAATGCAATTTTGGGCCAGGCCATGTCGCAAGAGACCACTCTAGAGGTAGTACTAACAATGGTAGTCACCCGGCAACGACCCCAGACCCAACCTCCAGGCCTCCTCCTCCCTGGGCAGGCCCAGGGTCTGGGCCGCCTCCACGTTTGCAGCCACCCTGGGAGTCCTGTTGCGACGACTGCAGCCACGTGGGAGCCGGCTCGTGCCCACAGAACCGCTCGCCCTCACCCCCACCCTCGACGTGCTCAGGCAGGCACACCCAGACCGGCCAGAGGAGCGATGCTGTCTCCACAGTGCACCCCCTTCGCTACCCCCCCCCGCGCGCCCCCGGCCGTGGTGGGGGAGGGGGCGTCGCCACCCCGCAGTCGCGTTGCTGGGGAGCGCAACCCCGTTGCTGTGGCAACGGTTTCCAAGCGAACTGGTGGCGGCTCGCGCCCGGCTCGGGCTCCCTAGCTCACTGGCGCTCTCCTTCCCCTCCTTCCTTCCCTCCGGTGTGGGCTGGGGGAGGGGCTGCCCGCTGTCTCGGTCGGGGTCCGGGTGGCGAGACCAGGATGAGGCTCTGAGCCACCCGCAGGGAGGGTCATCAGCCTGAAGACCATCTTTTGCCCGCGCCCTGTTCCCGCCCGGCCCGCAGCCGTCGCGGTACTCACGGGCCCAGGCATCCTCTTCGAACTCGTCTTCCTGCCTCGGGGCGAGCGGCCCAGCGGACAGAAGCCCCAGCTTGGAGCAGGCGGCGGCCCGGGGGAGCAGACAGTGGCAGCGAAAGCCGCTCCGAGCGCTGGGCTGGAGGCGCGGGGCGCGCGCACGGGCGCGTGCTGAGTTTGGCGTGCGCGCGCGCGCAGCCAACAGAGGCACCCCCCCACCCCCTGCCACACGCCGCCGAGGCTGCTGCGAGAGGGAAGGGGTGCCCACCTGCCGCACCCAGACACGGCACACGAGGGTGTGGGCTCGTACTACCACGGGCATCCTAGCACAGAGAAAGTACACTCTGCACAGCTCCAGGCAACAGGCTACCCAAAGGGGGCACACACCGGCAGCTTCGTGGCACAAAGCAGCCATACACGCAGGATCCTTAGCGGAGCAGCCGAGTTCACGAACCCAGATACTCACACAGCTCAACCTGTATATGTCCAGACATGTAGTGGGGTAGGGGCTAATGTAAGTCAGCACCCCAGTGTGGCCTTCTCTGAACTCAGGACCCCGCCCACTCTGTTCAAGAAGGCATACATGACAACATACCTACTGAGAAGCAACACAGACCTCACCTGAGTGCTGAATCTCCCAAGGCTCCAAGGGTTATGCTGACCCCAAGGGAACAAATATTGTGTAGAGCAGGCCCCATCTTAAGCTTGACCCCGGCTGTACTGGCCTTTCTACTTCAACTTCTCTACGGCATTAAGAATGATCTTCTGAAGTACTTCCCATCTCATCAATAGGGGACAGTCAGGGCTTTGAGAGCCAGGATCTTAAATAAGCTTACCCCACAGGAAAAGGGCTCATAATACCAGTGAACCCAAAACTAAAATAGCTTTGGTCACAGTTGGTTCCAGGCGTTTCAAAGTTGGGATTAAGATACTGGGCGGTGCCAGGCGGTGGTGGCGCACACCTTTAATCCCAGCACTCGGGAGGCAGAGCCAGGCGGATCTCTGTGAGTTCGAGGCCAGCCTGGGCTACCAAGTGAGTCCCAGGAAAGGCGCAAAGCTACACAGAGAAACCCTGTCTCGAAAAACCAAAAAAAAAAAAAAAAAAAAAAAGATACTGGGCGGTGATGGTGCACACCTTTGATCCCAGCACTGGGGAGGCAGAGGCAGGTGGATCTTTGTGAGTTCCAGGCCAGCCTGGTCTACACAGCAAGTTCCAGGCCAGGCTCCAAGGCTACACAGAGAAACCCTGTTGGGAGTGTGTGTGTGGGGGGATTTGGCATCGAGCAAATTGCCCCAGAATGATGGTATGGATGGCCCGCACAGCTCAATTTAAGGTGTGCTACCCATCACCAGTGAAAAGAGAACTCCACGTCTCTCCCAGTAGTTCCATTAAAACAAGTGAGCAAGAAAAGAAAAATCACAAGTGACATTTAGGACTCATGTCCACCATGTCTTAGGATGGAAAGGATCTGTACTCCAGGCAGCCACCCAGTGTTCGGTCCCTTCCTTTGAACACCAATACCCAGGTTTCAAGGGGATAATCATTGCCCAGACCTACTCATGGGTGCCATCAAGGGTTAGCCGCTAACAAAAATTCTGTTCCAAGGAACACTGGACACGTTTCTAATCTGGCCACTAGAGTAAGACTCACTGATGCCAAGACAATCAACTGGAGAACTGACTTCTGATCGTCATACTCTCGTGTGAGGAGTTAGCAACGAGCAGGGGCCCCTTCTGTCTGAGATGTCTTGTCTTTTTCTCACAGTTCGGGGGATCAGACCCAGGCATCTCAGACATGCTACAAAAGCACTTCTACACTGTGCTCCACCCACAAGCCTCCCATGGTTTTTGTTTTTTTCAAGACAGGGTTTCTTTGTGTACCTATGGCCATGCTGGAACTCACTTTGTAGACCAGGCTGACCTCAAACTCAGAGACCCTCCCCTTCCCACACCACCTCCAGCACTCCTCCGTAGGTCACATGTGTTTGTGTGCAGTGTGTATACAATGAGATAAAGTCCAGCACTATCTATTCCACATGGATGGGGATAACAGAATGGTTTGCCAAAGTTATATTAGGGTGCTTTTCTACATGGTGGGACAGGCCCTTAACACACAGCCAGTCAAAACCCTTCAGGGATCCTCCCGATCTCCAGTAGAGTCCACAGAGTACAGCTTTAAAAGACATCTGCATCTTACCAACTTCAACTGCAGCCACTCCTTTCCCAACCCATGTTCACCATCCTTTTGATGGGCACAGCTGGCCTTGTCCTGGAGAGTATCAACTCCAACACTTTTGGGGCCAAGGGACCAGTTGAATGTTATCCCCAAGACTCAGCCCTCTAGAATCCTTTGCCACAACGCTGATCACATCGAATACGACTGTTTCCACATCTCCTTGCCTACCAATTAGCTCCAAGCCGGCAGGGACCTCATCTCCATCTGGGTCCCTAGTTCTCACTACAGGGCTGGGTAGGGAGGAGTGGAGTTTGATAGTCTTGTTGGGAAACTTCATGAAGGATTTAATGTGAACCTAACCTTAGACAAGGTGTTCCCTAGATGCCTCCTAGCTCAAAGGAGGTTGAAGGATCTGGATTGAGTAGCAGGCAATTATTTCCTTCACGTGGATGGGAGCATCAGCAAACGTTCTATATGCTAGGAGGCCCCTCTGAAGACACCTGTTGGCAACTACTGGTGTGATGGCACACATATATAATCCCAACACTACACAGGAAGGCCAGTAGAGTCAGAGGTCTGAGGCCAGTCTAGCCTACCTACACAGTGAATTCCAGGCCACCTAGAGGAGAACCAGAGGACTCCCTGGTTGTATCAGAGTCTCTCAGCTGACATGCAAGGAAACTGGAATCCTCAGACAAGGAGGGGCCTATGCAGTCAGCTCCCAAAACTGCAGACTATGACATGCACCCATGGCTGTCATGTTCACAGCATTTGGTGCCCAGCTCACAGGCAGGATGGTTCCAGGGACTCTTGGGAAACTAAGGACCCTGGGAGGAGTTTGCAAAGCCTGGGAGAAGTTCCTTGTTTAAACAGCTTACTCCCGCCCCCCCCCCAAATTTGTACCAGTAGTCTCCCCCGTCCTCGCTCCCCCAATGATCTTGCTAATTTCTGTCTTCAGGTGACTACTTCAGGACCTGGTAGTCACTAACTTCAGAAAACTCTCTTCTCTGAAACTCAGGTGGCTGGTCCCTGCTACCCTTGCCACACTCGTTCTTCCTCAAACTAAGTCACTCAGATCATCTCTTTGGCCACCCACAGGAGAAAACAGAGAGAGCTGGATCACATGCATGTGTGCCGGATCAGGGTGGACACACAGCAGAAGGCCAGGTTAACTCAGGGCTGGTGTTTCTCACAACAGCTCCCACCTGCCTCTCCAGGCCACTGCCAAGTTTACAAGGCCACTTTGGCCTCAGAAAGTTTACAGACCAGCCAAATATATCTACCTCTGTAGTCGGACATACACCCTAGCTGGTATCCAAGGCTGTGTCCCACCTAGGAGTGGAAAAACCGAGATTGAGTCCCCACACCAAGGTCTGATTGCCTGTAAAGTCCTGAGGATTCTTGGGCTTTTTAAGGGCAGACCCTAGTCTCACTCCAGGTCCATCTCCAATCCCTTTTGACTGTGTCAAGAACAGGAAGAATCCTTGAAACACCAGAAATATTTTTTTAAAAAGAGGCAGGCAGGGGTGGCTGGCCAGGCTTGTGCTCAGACTGTATTCGCACAGAGACACATGGCAGCTCACATTGGTCACACAGAGACACGTGGCAGCTCACATTGGTCACACAGAGACATGTGGCAGCTCACATTGGCTTTAAATATGGGAAAGCCAGGGCCTTATGGTCCCATGTTGTCCTAACATTAGCATCAGGACGGCCATCACAGTCTGGGACAGGCCAGGGTTAGGGTCTGGGCTTAGGCACAGCCTTACCCTACCCTCTTCACACACTGATATACACTCAGCCCCCCCCACCCCCAACAGGCACACACAGGGAAGGGTAGATTATTGCTGGGCACATGTCTACTTTTATGAGGAATTCTGGAATGTTGGAGGGGTAAATCTAACCCCTCCTATGGCCTGGGCTGGGGCACTTCTGAAAAATGTATCTTCAGGACATGACCTAGAATAAGGGATATGTGCTCTGAGAGCTGGAAGGCAGGTGACCTATCTTGTGGTCTGATGGGTCCCAGTCAGTTCAGTCTATGGTTACACTATGGCCCAGGCCTAGAGGATACAAAGCCCCCATTTCCAGCTCTAACAAATGCTGAGAAAAAGTGACAGCATTGGGCAACCAGAAGGTGGTGGCCTAAGTCCACAACAGGTAGGCACAAGTCTCACTTGGAGGTTGGTGGTGACCAGTGCAATGCTGGGGTCAGAGACTGACCTGGCCCATACTCTGCTCATCTGGACTGGGCCCAAGAAGCATAGAGTTTGGCATTGGCTCCTCTGCCAGCTCCTGGCTCTCCCAGTCAGGGCTAGTTGCCCTGGAGCGCCAGGTCCAGGGTGGAATTAAGAACGCTCTGGTAGCTATATACATTCGTACAAATACATAAATACATAAAGCCCCGAGCTCCGCAGAGAAGAGCTGAAGGGACGCACCTTTGTCCCAAGATGGCCCAGGCCTTGTCAAACTCAGCTGGGCCAGGGGCTGAGGGACGGAGGACACTGGGGACAGTTCCGGCTGTGTTCCCCAGGCCACGACTTGAGTGGACAAGGGGGAACACCACTGTGTAAAACTGTAAACGTCACTGAGAGTAGCTGCTACCGCCAGCCATCGGTGGGGGCCTCGGCCTGGGGGCTAGAGGCGGGTGGGGAGCTCTTCCTCACTGTCGCTGCAGTTTCCACAGCAATCCTGGAGGGACAGGGAAGACATGGAGGGAGAGAGGCACAGCAGGTGCCATTAGTCACCACTGAGGCTGACCAAGGCCAGTGGCATGTCCAGAAAGGGGCCATGGGGTTCCCACAAGACTTAGAGAAG